TAACATATATTAATACATTTAATGTTCATGGCAACTTTATGAGGTAATTACAATTACTATCCTTGGTTCACAGATAATGAAAACACAAAGAGGTTAAGAAATCTATCCAAGATCACACAACTAGTAAGTGGTAGAGCTAAATGTTGAATCCCGGCATTCTGGCTTCTGAGTTCATGCTCTCATTGCATTTCTAATGAAAATGCCATTCTAAGTGATGTTCTACTCTACTGTTCCATGTGAGTACATGAAATCAATTCAACTGGGACGAAACCAGGAAATAAACATAATTAAGCAAGGAGTAAATAAAGAATGATAGTGTGATGCAGTTTCTAAAAGTAGTGCTATCAAAGAAGGAGCACGGATAAATGGAGAACTTTGTGGTGTGTTCCACTTAGCAGGTGGAAACTTAAAGACCTTGCTCATGTTCATGGAATGCCAATAATTAGAAGAAATTGTGCTTTTAGTTCAAGAGATCCTATGAAGTATTTACAATCCCCAGTAAAACTGACAAACTGATTGGGTTATTATAGTTATATGTATAATAAAAGTATGGCTAAGGGGAAATAGAAAACACTTTTCATTTGGAGACTTAATAGATTTTGCTGGTACAGAGGGCAACGGTGCCATAGTTCAGCATCAGGCTTTTCAAGCTAGTGGACAAAGTCCAAAAGGGAGCTGGACCCAAAATGAATAAGAAAACAAAGTAGTTATATATGTATACACATGTATGTATATATATACACATACATACAAAAGGGAAGACCAAAAAAAAAAAAGGAAGAAAATATTGGTGAGGCAATTAGTTGGTAGGAAAAAAAAAAGGCAAAGGGAAAGAAAATTGGATATAAGTGCAGTACAAAAAAGAAGGAACAAATGAGAGAGGAAGTAGATTTGTTAGAGGTTCCACAGAGGAGAAAAAAGGGGGGGAATTATGAAAAGAAAAAAAAAAAGTTACAAGAACAAGCCAGTTACTATCACCTTTGCCCTAACTGATCTTGCTGATAATTTTTGCTCTTCTCTAAAGCATCCTTTTCCATGTGGTAGCCAATGACCTTTTGGGGGAACAAATCTGGTAACACTACCTCCAGTTTCATCTCATACCATTCTCTTTACCAGCATCACACTGTCCACCTTTTAGTTCCTTAAACATGTCATACTCTCTATTTTATTCCCTCTGTCTGGAAAACTCTGCCTTTCCACCTTTCCTTCTCCTACTCACCTTTCAAAGTGCCCTAATTAGATCAAATTCTTGTTATTATAAATAATTCCTTTTGTTGTGCCCGACAGTTGTAATTTTACATTTACAAGTGTGATTATTTGATCACAGACTCTCATCACCCACGGAGAAACCATTTCTTTTCCCCCTTCATCACTGTGCCTCTCACACTACCTACAACACTGCAGTTGCTCAATAAATACCTGTCGAATGAATGAAGGAAAAGAAAAGAAAAACCTGCCAAGATGTTATCACATGTAGAAAAGAGTATGTATAAGAAAACCTTACATGTACAGAAGAGAAGGAAACAGAAAGAAAGTTCAATGTGAGTTGTAGCATAATAAAATTCATACAATTTTAGTGAGATACTATACTAAAAAAATTAAGTACAATAGTAGCCAGTAGGTCTGCTTTTCCCTAATGAAATTAGAAAAGGAAATAGAATTAACATTTTACTTAGTTATAATAAAACATAATTTAGAACATGGATGACAAACAGGCATCTCAAACTTAATTTGACCAAAGCAGAGCTATAAACTTCTCATTCCTCTACCAGTCTACTCCATTTCAGCAAATGGAATTACCCCCCCCCCCAACACCTTCAACCAAAACTCTAGGAGCCATCTATGATTACGCCCATACTCTGATCCTCAAAATACAATCCATCAAGAAGTCCTGTAAGCTCTACATCCAAACATATCTTCAGTCTATCCACTCTTCCCCAGTCTCCACTGCTACCAATCTAATCCAAGCCCCTCTGCTGGTTTTACTGAAGTATAGTTAACATACAATGTTATATTAGTTTCAGGTGTACAACACACTGATTTAACAATTCTGTAAACCACTCAATGTTCACTACTATAAGTGTAGTCACCATCTGTTACCATATAACATTATTACAGTATTACTGACTATATTGACTACTGACTATGCTGTACTTTTCACCTCCGTGATTATTTTATGACTGAAAAGTTTTTACCTCCTTGTACTTTTTATCTACTTATCTATTCTAACCCCTCTGTTTTAGAGTACTCCAATATTCTAACTCATGTCCCTGCTTTTACTATTCCTCTTCTCTAATTCATTGTACACAGAACAAAGTGATTTTTAAAAAGATAAATCGTATCATGACACCCCTTGGCCCCAAATTCTTCAATGACTTCCCACTTCTTAGAATAAAATAAAAATTCATCACCTTGCATGATGGATCTGCTGCCTCTCTTTCTTATCATCACTCTCTCCTTTGCTTGCTACATTTCAGCCATAATGACCTCCTTTTTGTTTCACAAATGGAACCATGTATCATCTCGAAACTTTACAGGCATCATCCTCTCTGCCATACTCCAAAGTATCTCATAGTTAAGGTTTTACCTTAACTAAGGTATCACCTCCTCAGAAGGGCCTTTTCCTGATTTTAATACCATGTAAAATGGCTTTTCCACTCCTTTATTGCTGTGTATTTCTTCCAGTCTTTTATCATACAGCTATCATCTTGCTTATTTCATTAACAACAAATTGTTCCAAGTTTAAGAAATATGATGGTGAAAAGACAAAGCCACTCTTTTCATGGAGTTTATATTTCAGTAGGATTGAAAACAAATTTATCAAGTGGTAAGTGCTATTAGGAAAAATAAAACAGTATAAGGGAATACCATGTGTTTGTACAGTGCCTAGCACAGAATAGGTGGCTATAAATGCCTGATGAGTAAATGAAAACCTACTTCAGTTTTTCAGTAAGTCTGGTACCAGAGAGTAAGGAAAGTATACTCTATTGATGTTTAAATATTAAATCCTAAGGCCTATGGGGAAATATTTTGAAAACACACAAATATGGTAGTATAAGACGTATGGCAAGTTACAGTGGAGTATTTTATTTTATTATTAAAAGTGTAAAGAAAAGAAACACAAAAAATACTAGCATTATTCAATTTATTTAGAAAGATTCAGTACAATATATAAAAATCAGATATGAGAAACTGAAATCCTTACTTTCCCTTATGCTCATATTCTAACAAGTTACCATTTGCTTTCTTTATGAGAATGCTAAAGGACACATGGTGAAACTCAAATTTATTATAACTGTACATTGCTAGACCCTTAAGTTAGATTCAACTAAAAGCAACAGTTTGAAATTCACAATCAGCCCTGTATTTGTTGGCTTGCTTTATGCTCTTTCCATCCTCCCTATGTTCATCTAGTCAGAATTTAAATTCAATCAGAAGCCTTAGAAGTCCAAAACTTACTACAGTACAAAAATACAATCAATCATCTGCATACTGAATGTACTAAGTAAGCATCAGCAAGCCATCTTTGGAGGTTCCAATATCAAAACAAAAAATAACAGCACAGCACCACCTGTAACACAAGCTGCACCACTCTCAGTCTGATAGGTTATCTATTCTGGCCAAACAAGAATGGAGGTAGAACGGGGGTAATATGAAATGAACCCAGAAAAACTCAGAAGCTTTCCACATCTTCTTACTAGAAATCTCTCATTACCTTTAAGATTTTTTTTTTCTTTGCTATACTCAAGGAAGAATTAAGAAAATTGAGCTTTATTTCCCTATCCACCTATGTTATGCCCAATTCGTTCATTAGAGTAATACTGAGGACCTACTGTGGTCCAGGCACTGCTCCAGGTGCTGTTAATAAAACCGTAAGCAAGGCAATACCTATTCCTCGACACCCTCTTATGGAATACCTGTACTACAGTTAAGATACACTTTCTTAATCCAGAAATGTTTCTAATTAATTATTTTTAAAAAGTATTGCTTATACTGTATATGAAAATCATCTTTGTGAAATTATCCAGAGTGGTTAATACTTTTTAACAATAACTGCACAGTACACTCATTTTTCTAAACATATTTATAAACTCAATTTATATTTTAGTGTAAACACTGAACCCGTAGTCAAATTAAGCAATGTTAACAGTCAAGTTCCTGGGCCACAACCACAACGAATTTAGCCGTATTTGGAGGGTCCTTATTTATATGGGCAAAGAACCAATATTGTTACCCATTACCACCATTCCCAACAATAACAGCTTTTCTTAAGACTTACTTAGTCCACCTACAGCAAATGTTTAACTTTCCCTCACAAGTGAATAAAAATGGAACCACCCAAACTTTGTCTATTAGCTTTGGTGACCGTCCCCAAATTGACACTGTGAATCTCCTTCTCTACTTTCAGATAAATTATTTTATCAAATATCTTTAGCAAAACACATTTCGTAAGACCATCAGACATGGCCAGACATAATCTGAAAACTGGCTGCAAAAGGAAGCCTGAAGCTCTGCGAAACAGAAAGAGCAGAGGGCGTATATAAAACATACCCAACTACTTCTCCCCTCCCTACTTAAACTGTCCCCCAATTTCACCCGACTTTAGCAATCTGAAACTTTCCATGAACACCAAACAAAATCTGAATGCAATCTGCTCTCATCCTTAGGCCACCACCAAAATATTTTAAAATGTCAAAGACTTAACCCGTGCACTCTCAAGGGACACCCACCAACTCCAGCTCGCATCTGGATCCACCCGCCCCCTCCCGGCTATGTCTGCCCAGGCCAAGCCCCCGGCACCGGCGGACTCGAACCCAGCGCGCTCGCAACACATTCCCTCCCCGCCATCGCCCCAGCAGCCCCCGCCCCCCCAGTGCCTCTGCCACCCCCACTCCCCCAAACCCACCCAATGCGAATAACTTAATATCCAGAGACCGGGGGGGCCACACTTTCCTGATTTTTCCCCACCCCACCCCCTGCAAGGGCAGAAATAGATGTACCTTCCAGAAAAGTAATCTCCCCAGCGCTGCCGCCGCTCTTGCCAGCCGCCATCTTCCTCCTCCCACGCCGCCTCCTTCTTAATCCATGGCCCACACCACCGCCGCGCTCGCCGGGATGAGGGGCCGCGCCGCAGGAGGGTAGCCGCCGCAGGGTTGCGGGCCTAGAACTCGGCCGTCAGGGGGGCGGCGCTCCTACGTCCAGATGGGCCTACACAAAAGCAGGCTAGGCGCTCCCGGGCCTATCCGCGGGCTGGCGGGTGGCGAGGCCCGCGGCCTGGGCTTCTCCTCAGGCCCCTCCGGGGGAACGCGAGCGGCGACGACGGCGACGGCGCTTCCCGGGCCCGGTTCCTCTCGGCCCACGACTCCCCATCCACCGCCTCCCCAGGCCGCCTGAGACGCTCTCCCCAGCCGCGGGCCCCAGGAAGAGAGGCTGAAGGCGAGCACACAAACACACCTCCCTTCGTCCCGGGCCGTAAAATGGCCGCAGCCGCCGCGCCGGGGCGGCGAGGTCTTCGCGACCGTCAGGCGCCCCCAGGCCCTTCGCTCCCTCTACAGCCGCCGCCGCCGCCGCCGCCGCTACGGCCGTCCGCCCACCCCGCCCAGGCGTGTATGCATCAGCCGAGGCCTCTGCGACTGTCCATGTGGACAGGGGTGGGTCTCCTCTGCCACCGCCTCGCGTCCGTCGCCACAGCAGCTCCAGCCGCCGCCGCCGCCGCTGCCGCTCCTCCCCCACGGGCGCTGGAGCTGCCGCCCGGCTCCCGCCCCCACCCCGACGCCGCCGCCCCCAGCGCCGCTCGGCCCCAGCGCCGCTCCCCCTCAGGAGCCCGGGCTCCGCTCGCGGGCAGAGCGGTCTGCAGCGCCGCACCGAACACCGACCTGCGGCTCCCGCCGCCGTGGCTCTCGGTAGGGCCGGCCCCGCGCCGCGCGGACTCGGCCTGGACACGTTTCGCCCAAAATCTCGACCGCCGAGGGCCCCATGGCAGACTTGGTGTGTGAGCGCTTCTAAGCCAGGCCGGTGATGAGTTTGGTTTCTGCGGCACCACAATTGCCTAAAAAATGTTAAAAGTTCCTCTCTTTGACCAGGCCTTACAACTTAAACCATAGCCAACTGATGAGGGAAGCTACAGTGAAGTAGTGTAATCACATGTTTAAGAAAATGATTTGTGGTCCTCATTCGTTTTTTAAAAAGTTTTCAAAATAATTTATCAAAGAAGATTCTACAGTATATTTTGGATGACAATGTAAAAAAAAAAATGCTGTCATATGCGCCTAAGACTTCAAAAACCATTCCCTGCCTTACAAGTCAGGCCTTATAATGAATGGCAGGTTATTATATCACGTTTGCTTTTCCCTTTACTTTGGCTTTTTTAAATTATAAAAAATATGACATTCTTTAATGAAAAGCCGGTATACAGAAAAGGACAGAAGTTATGCATAGTTCCACCACCAAAACTCAATTCCTTTAAGTGTGTAGTCCTCTAAGCGAACATTTTTCTTAAGTCTCTCACTATCCCTCTTTAAAAAAACGAAAATCTCTTATGTGTCAGTGAAAATTCAGCAGCTGTTAAGACGATGCAGAAAAACTGTTTCTGTGCAATCTTGAGGAATGAACTGTTCTAATTAGTTTAATTGTCCTGTTAGCCAAGGCATAAGCAGAAAACCTTTTCCTTTAAAACTTCTTTAAAGGGCACCTGGGTGGCTCAGTTCGTTAAGCGACTGCCTTCGGCTCAGGCCATGATCCTGGAGTCCTGGGATCGAGTCCCACATCGGGCTCCCTGCTCAGCGGGGAGTCTGCTTCTCCCTCTGACACTCCCCCCTCTCATGCTCTCTCTCTTAAATAAAAAAAATCTTTAAAAATAAATAAATAGAACTTCTTTAAAATCTTATTCTAAAATGAATAATCTTTTCTGATTTAGTAAAAGTAATATAATGAATATAATTTATTATACTCTTTGTTGTTTGAGTATACTGAATGATCTAGTTGTGATGCTCTATGACATAGAGTCTGTGCCAGTGACAGTATAATACTGAGGCGTGTAGATAATAGGCAGATGTGGGTGACTGGACTCATTTGTACAGACTCCAAAATGCAGTTTTAAAAAATAATCTCTGATTTAAAAATACATGCATAGTGGCTTTGAAAATGGGAAAAGGTGCCAGAAGTCAAGAACTGTGGGTGGCCTCTGGAAGCCAGCTTCCAGAAAAGAAAAGGCAAGGAAACTGATTCTCCCTTAGAGCTTCCAGAAAGCAAAGTGAGCACCTTGACTTTAGCTTATGGAGACATGTTGGACCTCTGACCTTATAGAACTGTAAGATAATACATTTTTGTTAAGTTGCTAAGTTAGTGCTACTTTATTACAGCAGCCATAGAAAACTAATATACATATGGAATGGGAAACAAAGTGGAGTCTTATAAAAGATGTCTTTTAACCAATCTGATTTAAGATCTTTAAGACAAAGTCCATTGTTGTATTTTGTGTGTGTGTGAATTTCAGCTAATTTCTATGGGAACACATAATTCCAACTTTAAAAGTGTGGCATCAAAATCACTTGGAAGGGCTTGTTAAAACAGATTGCTCTACCCCACCCCTAGAGTTTCTGATTCGGTGGGTCTGGACTGTGTCTGAAAATTTGCATTTTTAATAAGTTCCCATGTGATGCAAGATGCTGCTGATTAGGGGACCACATTATGAAAACCACTAGATTAAACAATCTCTACATTCCTTTCCATTCAGTTTAATTTAGTCTATGAGTCTGCAATTACATGTGAAATGATCAGTGTCCATATTCCAGTATAAGATTAAAGATATTTTCAGGAATCACTACTCTTCCATATATATGAACCTTATCAATTAAGAATTGACAGATATCATGTATCTATTTAGGTATTCAGGCCTAGAAAACTTCAGATTGAGGACATGTCCCTGAAATGTAGATATATTTAGTATACATATAAATATATATTTAGTATACTTATAAACACTCAATTAGTAGCCCTTCTTTATACATGTATTTTGAATGACACCCAGGGATATTACTGAGAAAGCTTTTGAATGTTAGAAATACGACTAATTACAAAACCCATTCTCTGAGTTACATAGTCAATTTTTTTTTTAAGATTTTATTTATTTATTTGACAGAGAGAGACACAGCAAGAGAGGGAACACAAGCAGGGGAGAGTGGGAGAGGGAGAAGCAGGCTTCCCGCTGAGCAGGGAGCCCAATGCGGGGCTCGATTCCAGGACCCCTGGGATCATGACCTGAGCCGAAGGCAATTGCTTAACCATCTGAGCCACCCAGGCACCCCTACATAGTCAATTTTTATTAAAAGTCTAGCATGTCTTTATTGCTTAAATTTAGCAAATTTTATTGAGATGTAAGCTAACTTGTTAGTTATCATATTAAACAATTTAATTCTGGCATTAAAGATAAAAAGATAAAATGGAGAAAAGTTAGACTGTTTTAAGCTTGAATGCATTTGTAATTACAGTGGATATAATAAGCTACTTTATTTTTTCTAATTTTTCCATTAAATAAAATTTAGAAAAAAGGAAAAACAAAACAAAGCAGGGTCCTGCCACCCACAATTCTAATTCTAATGCCCTATCTTCTCTGATGTCTTTTTACTCAGTCTGGTCACCCACTACCAAGTTTAAACCCTGGACCTACTCTTCCAAACTCAGTAATGCAAACATCCCATCTCCAACCACAGTGGTCAATGGCGCTAACCAAAGGACCAACATCAGCAAGTCTACACAATCATCCTGTGCAAACAGAATTCAGAGGAAAACAGAATTAAGATCGACTACAGGATCCTTTGGAAGGATACACGAGCATGAGACCCTCCCCAAAGCTACTCCTCTCCTCGGGTTCTTGCTCAGTACAAAGTGTTGCCATCCACCCAGTTTCACAAACTAGAAACCTAGGAATCACTCTTGACTTGCTTTTTAAATTAAATCTACGTCCTTGAATATGTCTTGAATCGATTCACATTTTTCAATTCCAATGAGCCCACCCTAGTCTAAGCCACAATCACCTCTCAGCCGTACGACTGTAATAACAGCTTCAAACAGGCCATTCCATGTTCCGTACCCATCCTCTAATCCATTTCTCACACAAAAGCTACAATGATCCTTTAAAAAAAAACAAAAAATCACATCAAAGCACCTTCCTGTTTAAACCATTCAAACAAAGATTTCCTGTTGCTCTTAGGATAAAATCCTAAATCCTTACTTGATCTACTGGGCCCTCCCTAACTACTTCATGAGCCTCATCTTAATAGCATTTTTACCCTCTTAGTTAAGCTCCAACCATTTTGTATTTCTTTCGGTTCCACAAATGCTTCATCCTCTTTTCTACTTTACAGCCTTTGAACATGTTTTATCCTCCATCCTCAATGCACTTTTTGTCTAAATAGAGTCTTGCACCAATAGGATAATACATATCTCCTGAATGAATGAACAAATGAAAACAACATATTTAAAATAATCTTTGCTAAGGAAAATTCAGAATCATGGAGTTCTAGAACCTGGATTCCTTAGAAACCGTCTAATTCAATCTTCTCAGAAGTCCAGCAAACGTCTTTGCCCTAAATAACATTGTGGTAGAAATCTATGATAAATACCCTAAAAAAGATCAGCAATCCAGATGTGAACCTAGGGCCTGGCTTTGAAGATTACAATGCTGAAACAACTTTTAAGGAGGCCAGGAACTGACAGAAGGAGCACTTGTAATGGATACATATTAACAAAGCTTTCTCTCTACATATGGCTACAAATTCTTCTTTTGTATCAGGGCTGGCGGTTTCCTCTATTTTAGATTTAAAATGTTGCATATAAAACTATGGTTGACCCTTGACCAACTTGGGTTTGAATTGCATGGATCCACTTATAATAATGTGGCATTTTTTCAATACAGTTACAGTATTATAAGTGTATTTTCTCTTTCATACGATTTTTTTCTTATGATTTTTAAATTACATTTCCTTTTGTCTAACTTATTTTATTGTAAGAATGCAGTATATAATACATATAACATACAAAATATGTGTTAATTTACTATGTTATCAGCAAGGCTTCAGGCAATAGTAGGCTGTTAGTGGTTAAGTTTTTGGGGAATCAAAAGTTATATGCAGATTTTCCATTGCATGGGGCCATGGGTGCCCCTAGCCCCTCCCTGCCTTGTTCAAGGGTCAACTGTACTTGAATAAATTGATTCATATTTTATGCTGGTAGAGCTTAATATTTATTAATAAAACAGTAGCCCAGTTTAAATATATATATTTCTTTGAAAACACAATACTCAATCTTGTTCTTTTAAGCACTAAAAAGCACAGTACATAGTCCATGACTAAATACAAATTTCAGAAGACAATAGCAGGCTCTGCAAATTCTGTCTGGTTGATGGTTTTTGAAGGGCTAAGTGTATTTGTGTCAGATAAAATGAACAGTGAGTCTTATATGAGAATAATGTATATACATTTCTGTTATAAGTATGTTTTAAGTTTCTGTTTTAACATAATTTCTACATTATAATATTCTACTTCACTTTCAACCTATTTTATTTTTGCTCTTGTTTAATCCTACCATGTTTCATATGAAGCTCCTTTATTGTTTCCAGTTCTTTTAGTCCATGCTTTCTGTTCCTATTCCATGTGGCAGATTTTTTCCTAGAAATTCAACATGTAGTTTATTAGCTAAAATTTTAAAGTTTAAATTTTTAAACTTTTGATTAAGTGAAGCTCAAACTAATATTTTAAAAATTGTCAGTGAATGTATTCTCAGAATAACAAAGATTTCTTGTAATAGTTCCTAGCAGGTATCTTCAGTATCAACATTAATAAATGAACAGTGAAGTTTTCAGGTGACAGGTTGAATTATTACTTTCCTGGATCCTAGGCACTTTTGCTTTCTTGGGTCCCTTCTTCCACAAGAAATACATTAAATATATTTTTTTAAGGTTTTATTTATTTCTCAGAGAGAGGGAGGGAGAGAGAGCATACACAAGCCGGGGGGAATAGCAGGCAGAGGGAGAAGCGGGCTCCCTGCTGAGCAAGGAGCCCTATGCGGAACTCGATCCCGGGACCCTGGGATCCTGACCTGAGCTGGAGGCAGACGTTTTACTGA